AATGTAAATATTACCAAACGAAGTCACAGCAGAATCGACGTCCGATCGACAGAATCCCAGCAACACATCAGGTGGTGGTGATTCATTCCTGACTGAATCAGCGTATTTGAATGAATCGTTTGAGTAAATGATTCACCAACTCATTCATAGACGGTGCGTTCCAAACAGGATATATCGCCCTCCGAAGGGTACTTCAGAGTGAAATTTGTAAGTCACTTTGGATAAAAGCATCTGCTAAATGACTAAAACTAAAGTAAAGTAAAAGTAATGCATTTCAATTGTTTATTGAATAATAATAACAACATAACAACAACATTAACATTGTTTTTACATTTATTATTGAATTATTATGAAATAATTATTATTAAAATACTATTAAATAATTTATAACTGTAAACTAAGTTTATACTTATTATAAGTATTACAGATATATCATATGAATGACTATTGTGTGATAATCAAATCGTGCAATAGTGTGTATAAGTTCCCTGGGAGCTGTTTAATATTAACAGAAGAAAGTGAGTCCCTCCCCGTTGAGTGAACTTGAGTGAAACTCGTTCTTTAGACTTCACTCGTTCATCATGGCGGTGTTTTCATCTCTTACTCCGGTGTTCGTGGCGGTTTTGTGTGTGATTATCGGGTTTCTCTTCAAAAGCTCCCAGAGGAGAGAGACCAGATCAAAGCAGCAGCGTTCAGACCAGACAGCCAGACCATGGGTGGACGAGGATCTGCAGGATGATACAGAAACCAGCAGTAAACACAACGGTACTCTCCACCACTATACTCACATCATAACTAGTAATATTAAGGAGTACATGACAGAACTTAAAGTTTGAGATCTCAAAGAAAAGAACTCTATGCTGGGAAAGAGTTTTGAACCGAATGCAAAGGTTAAAGTCCAAAAAAAGTCTTGCTTAAGATGTTGCAACATGCTCTATTACAGCCCACTTTCAAAATAGCGCTTTAATGTCTGTTGATGTGCGCTGTTTATATACTGTTAATATTTTGTTTCATTATTGCATATATGCAATCATATTTTTCATATATGACAATGTTCTTCCATTAGATTACATATTCAAACATTTTCAAAACAAAAGACAGAGAGTAGAGAATTAAAAAAAAAAATAGTTCACCCAAAAATGAAACATTTACTCACCCTCAGGCCATCCAAGATGTAGATGAATTTGTTTATTCGTGGGAATATATTTGGAGAAATGTAGCATTCCATCACTTGCTCAGCAATGGATGCTCTGCAGTGAATGGGTGCCGTCAGAATTAGAGTCCAAACAGCTGATAAAAACATCACAGTAATCCACACCACTCCAGTCCATCAGTTAATGTCTTGTGAAGAGTCCATAATTCATAATAATGGTTCCTCCAGTGTAAAAGTCTACTACATCTACTGTATCTACTGTTGTTCTCACACATCAAACTCTGCCAACGTATTTGTTTAAAACTGTTTTGGACTGTTTTTGCTTGTAAACAGTGCTTGATCCTCCTGATCCAGACAAGATGACTTTTTCACTAATAGAGGAAAAGTAATATTATGGGATATTATGAGATAATATTATGGATTATGGGCTCATATTTTAGCCAGAAGCAATGGTTTGAAGTTAAAAACGTCATGATGGATTTATTTCTTACAAACACACAGCTTTTCGCTTCATAAGACATTAATTGATATACTGGAGTGGTTTGGATTTCTTGTTGATTATTGTGATGTTTTTATCAGCTGTTTGGACTCTCATTCTGACGGCACCCATTCACTGCAGAGGATCCACTGGTGAGCAATTGATGCAATGCTACATTTCTTCAAATCTGTTCTGATGAAAAAACAAACTCTACATTTTGGATGGCCTGTAGGCGAGTACATTTTCAGCTAATTTTCTTTTTTGGGTGAACTATTCCTTTAAAGACATGAGACTGCCATGTTCACCCTGATGTGAATTTGTGTTTCTGTTTATTGGCGTTGGTGACTCAATCGATTGTCTGTGCACAGAGGGTGATGATGATTGGATAGACACAACAGAGGAAGAAAACTTACCCCATATCCCATACACCCCAATTCAGTATTCTGCTACTGAGATGCTGGAACGTTCTGAAAAGTTCTACTCGCTCATGAATCTGAGACGGTCTGTCCGCTTCATCAGTCCAGAACCGGTACCAAAACAAGTGATTGACAATGTTATACGCACTGCAGGTAATGCAATCACAATGATGCAATGGGCTGAATTTGTTGTGTGATTTGGCAGAGGTGGCAAATTCCTATTCAGCTCAAAAGACAAAACAATTCAAAGCCTAGCCTTTGTCCCCATATGTGTGTGTGTGTGTGTGTGTGTGTGTGTGTAAGGCACTGCACCTAGTGGAGGTCACACTGAGCCCTGGACGTTTGTGGTGGTGTCTGATGCAGATGTCAAACACAAGATCAGAGAGATCATTGAGGAGGAGGAGGAGATCAACTACAAGCAAAGGATGGGAGACAAGTGGGTCCATGACCTGAAGAAACTGAGGTGCGTTTCAAATAGACATAATATGTAGACATAATGTGTAGTTTTACGCAAAATATTTATTCGTTTTATTATTACTGTACTATTACTATGTACTAGTATTATGTATTAATATAATTTCATAAATTGAATATAACAATTACAGACGTAATAAAAATGTGTTGACTAAAACTTAGCTATGACATTAGTGCCCCTTTGTGGTTGTTTTCCTTCGTTTTTTTTTTTTTTACCATGGTTAATGTTGTTTCAAACAGTTAAGAGGTCACATAATAATAATTATTACTATTATTGGATTTTTGGTAGGATCTACAGATAAATATAGATATTATATTTGATAATTATTATAATAATCACACAGTGTTTTAATAAAATCCTATAGCTGTGTTACTAGAGCCCTCTTGTGGTCTGTTTCTACCATGTTCGTTCTACTATAACTAATTTTATTTCAAGAATTTATATGACTTTCCAATTCACTAAATAACAAGCAAGTAAAGGTGTCTTTCACAGGACAAACTGGGTGAAGGAGTATTTGGATGTGGCTCCGTATCTGATTCTAGTGTTTAAGCAGACATATGGAATTCTGCCCAACGGCAAGAAAAAGACTCACTATTACAATGAAATCAGTGTGTCCATTTCCTGTGGCATTCTGCTGGCTGCTCTGCAGGTCAGACACAAAAAAGCTGACACAAATCAACACACAAATCAAACATTTGATTATAAAAAATGTGGATCTGTGATTTAAATGATGTGTAATATTCCATTGTTCTCTGTATTGTTTACATTTTTTGTGTTAGAATGTGGGGCTGGTTACCGTGACGACGACTCCTCTGAACTGCGGTCCACAGCTCAGGTCCCTCCTCCAGCGACCAGCCAATGAGAAGCTTCTAATGCTGCTTCCCGTTGGCTACCCTGCGTCTGACGCCGAAGTGCCTGACCTCAAACGCAAGGACCTAAATGACATCATGGTGACTGTGTGACATTATCAACTGCGATAAACAAATGTAATGCAATAAAAAGGCCAATATACAGACCTGTTTTGAATAAAAAGAAACGAGTGTTTGGCAAATTAGACCAAATGTTCTCATCTTACTGCTCTATTTTTATTATACCTTACCATAAAGGGATGTTACAGTAATAGTTTACATAGGGACACAGTTCCTCTCACATTTTGCATGGCTCTTTTAATGTACGCTTCATATATTATGAATCTTCTGTGATTTATGCAAAACATTAAGTACGTGTTTGTATTTTCCCATGCTAATGCTTTATGTTTTCTACACTCTCACTGACATATTTGAAAGGGCTTCATGTTTATTTTACGGTCATTGCAAGATAATGTTATCTGTCATTTTTCAATAATCATCTCTAAATTACAGTCCAACATGGGTTTATTACTGTAACAAATCATATATAGTTAAAGAGGAAGTGTGTTATTTGTTAAATGTTGAAATACTTTATTCTGTCCCATCTTATTATGCAGAGACATAAGCTTTGTAGGGTAATTCAACAGAAAAGTGTAAACACTTTGTTCTATAATTTGTAATATATATTAAATTAGAAAAAAATAGATAGAATAGAAAAATAGTAGAGAACGCTAGTGTTAGAGGGTAATTTTTTATAATAAATATAAAGAAAAGTAAATAGAATAGAAATAGAATAGAGAATGCTAGTATTAGAGGGTAATCTTTTAATAATAAATACAAAGAAAACAAGTAGATAGAATAGAAAAAGAGTAGAGAACGCTAGTGTTAGAGGGTAATTTTTTTATAATAAATAAAAAGAAAACAAGTAGATAAATAGAATAGAGAGTGCTAGGTGCTAGTGTTAGAGGGTCAAGTTTTTTTTTATAATAAAGAAAACAAGTAGAGAACGCTAGTGTTAGAGGGTAATTTTTTATAATAAATATAAAGAAAAGTAAATAGAATAGAAATAGAATAGAGAATGCTAGTATTAGAGGGTAATCTTTTAATAATAAATACAAAGAAAACAAGTAGATAGAATAGAAAAAGAGTAGAGAACGCTAGTGTTAGAGGGTAATTTTTTTATAATAAATAAAAAGAAAACAAGCAGATAGAAAATAAATAGAATAGAGAGTGCTAGGTGCTAGTGTTAGAGGGTCAAGTTTTTTTTATAATAAAGAAAACAAGTAGATAGAATAGAGAATGCTAGTGTTAGAGGGTATATATAATTTTTTATCAATTGTATTATTTTATTTTTTATTATAATTTGAGTATAAATAATTTTAGTACTTTTATTTTGTACCCAAACGGGGCTTTTATTTTGAAAAATAGAGGTGAAGTGTGTTTTTTGCATTCGATGTTAAAATCCTTTCTTCTATCCCATGTTATTATGCAGAGATAACTTGTGTAAGCTATTTGTAGAATTCAACAGAAATGTAAAAATTAATTCGAGCACTTTTATTGTTTTATTATTATTATTGTTGTTGTTGTTGTTGTTGTTTTTACCCAAACAGGGCTTTTATTTTGAAAATACATTTCCTGTACGTACAAAAGAGTTGACGTATTTGACGTTAACTAGCACAGGAAGTTCTTTTACTTGACAGCTTTCCTTAATCGGCTATCTTACTAGAGATATTACTAGTAAATACGTAATATATCTCAACATTTTCTAATTCGACTGTTATGCGTCAGGCTCGCTGAGGGCAGCGGTGTAGTTTGAGTGAGTGAGAGTGTGTGTTTGTGGAGGTGGAGGAGATGTCGTGCTCGCTGGAGAAGGTGCTGGGCGACGCGCGGACGCTGCTGGAGCGGCTGAAGGAGCACGACACGGCCGCGGAGAGTCTCATCGAGCAGTCGAGCGTCCTCAACCACAAGATCCACAGCATGAAGGAGGTCGAAAACACTCTTCCTGACAAGGCATGATATGAAATCTCTTACTGACCACCCTGCAGAGCACACATATGACCTCTAAGAGCATGCAGGGACATATTACAGTTGTGCGTGCATGTGTTATTGCATGTACATTACACAATATGAGCCATTTATTGTTGCACAGCGTGTGGTTAAGTGGGTAAGATCTGGACTGATGAATCAAAGGTTTTAGTTCGGATGGGTAGTTAGTTTAATGATTGTCAGTTTTGCCCTTGATCAAGACGCTAAACTGCAAAAAAATTGCTTTACTTTTACTTTTTTTTGTCTTGTTTTCCAGTACAAATATATAAATATTCCTAAATCAATATGCATTTACTTGAAAAGCAACATATTAGGTCTTTTGTTTCTTAAAAATAAATAAATAAATAAGATAAAGTTTATGCCTAAACCAAGACAAAACATCTGTCAACAGGGTAAGAAAGATAAACTTAATTCAAAGGGAAAATACGACTATTTTTCTTACTCCGGTGACCATTTTTCTTGATTTTAACATAAACTCATAATTTTGATAACATTTTTTGAAAACAAGACTTATGTTCTTATGTCTTATATCTTATGTTATTTTCCTTCTCACGTAAATGTATTTTGATATTTTTATTGGAAAACAAGACAAAAATCCTAAGTTATTTATTTATTTATTTTTTTTGCAGTGTAAACCTCAGAGGTCTGAACTTATGGATAACAGCTTGGAATACAGTGCAATATTAAAATTGGGCTGATAATACATTTTTGTGTAAATGCTGATACTAATATTGTGCCTGATATTATAAATCTGTACTGCTGTCATGCATATTAAAGCTGTAATTAAAGCTCTTTTTTTTCTTCTTTTTTTTTTGTAAAGCGAAATTAGGAATAAAAACATAAGATACAATCTTGACGGTTGAATTTTATTAAGAATATTTGTTAATATTTTTTGCATTGTGTTGCAGGTCGGATTGAATTTAATTATTTTATAATAATAATAATAATAATAAATGTAAAAATTATGTATAAAATTGAGAACCCTGCAACTAAAGATTATTTTAATTATTGGTTAATCTGTTGTTTATTTTCTTAATCTGAAAAAAAGTCATTTTTTTTTAAACTTGATGGTTAATAAATAAAATGTTGCTTGAGTCAAGTTGTAGTTATGAATACTTTCCGTACCCACTGTATATATATATGTATGTATGTATATCTGTGTGTGTGTCTGTGTGATTTTTTTTTTTTTAATCGATCATCAAATTTGTTATCAATTATTTTCATTCTTGATTATTGTTGCTTTTATTGATTAGTTGTTACAGCCCTAACTAATATTTTGATAATCAATTAATCTATTGATTATTTCATTGATTAATCACATAAAAAATACATAGATAGACACATAATGTGCAGCCTGAATTAATTGATAATCAAATTTGTTGTCAATTTAGTTGTTGCAGGTCTAGAATCCTGTATATGATGCGTCTAATAACTAATAAATGAAGAATAACCAGTAACCACCGATTATGAATTTCTGTTTTTCCTGTATTTAGTACATGGAGGAAAGCACAGAGTATCAGGAGCTGTCCAGATACAAACCTCACATCCTGCTGACCCAGGAGAACACCCAAATCAAAGACCTCCAGCAGGAGAACAGAGGCAAGTCAGCGCGAGTTTCTTCAAAGTGTCTCGCATTTGTAGAGTGAATCCCTGATTCGACTCTTTGTGCTGTTCACAGAGCTCTGCCTCTCTCTGGAGGAGCACCAGTACGCTTTAGAGCTGATCATGGGCCGATACCGAAAACAGATGCTTCAGCTGATGATGGAAAAGAAAGAGCTGGATGCCAAACCTGTGCTTAGCCTTCACCAGGATCAAGCCAAGGTGCCAGACCTTTGCTTTCTTAAAAGAATAGTTCATCCAAAAATGAGGATTTGTTGTAAATGTACTCACCCTCAGGCCATCCAAGATATAGATGAGTTTGTTTCTTCATCAGAATAGATTTGGAGAAATGTAGCATCACTTGCTCACCAATGGATCCTCTGCAGTGAATGGGTGCCGTCAGAATGAGAGTCAAAACAGCTGATAATCCACACCACTCCAGTCCATCATTTAATGTCTTGTGAAGTGAAAAGCTGCGTGTTTGTAAGAAACAAATCCATCATTAAGGCGTTTTAACTTCAAACCGTCGCTTCTGGCCGAAATATGAATCCATAATCTATAATAACGCTTCCTCTCACATCAAAATCCACTCACATATTTGTTTAAAACTGTTTTGGACTGTTTTCACTTGTAAACGGTGCTTGATCTGTGCATATTTCTCTCCTGATTCAGACGAGACAACTTTTTTTTTTTTTTTTACTGGAGAAAGCAATATTATGGATAGAGGACTTGTATTTTAGCCAGAAGCAATCTAGCTTTTCTCTTCACAAGATGTTAATTGATGGACTGGAGTGGTGTGGATTCCATTCTGACGGCACCCATTCACTGCAGTGAATCCATTAGTAAGCAAGCAATATGATGCTAAATTTTCAGCAAATTTTCATTTTTGGGTGACCTATTACTTAAAAAAAAAATTGCATCAGTTTCTTTAAGTTATTCTAATGGCATGTTCAAAAATCAAGCAGAATGAAACCTAAAATAAGTCTTTATTCCAGGAGGTTCAAAGCCAGTTGGAGCGGATCTGTGAAATGGGTCAAGTAATGCGTCGAGCTGTGCAGGTGGACGACCAGCGCTACTGCTCTGTAAAAGAGCAATTGGCACAGCTTGAAGTAATGGCTTTATTTTAATACATCAGCTTATAATTTCTGCTTTTGTATGTTCATGTAATGCGTCTTTTTGTTGATGCAGATTGAAAACAAGGAGCTCAGGGGTCTGCTGTCCATCAGCAACAGCTCCGTGAGGCCGCAGAGAGAGGAGACAAACCCTGCAGAGACGGCAGCCCAGAGCCCAAAGAAACAACAGCCCTAATAGAGGAAATCTTACTTTAGATGGCAGTTTGTATATTTGTATGTCGGGTGACTTGGCGTCATAATATCTGTATTGGGTTCTCTAGTGTTGAATTGAACTGTCCTGGCGGGGGTTTAACTTCCTGCTGCCTGATGATGCACTTTCTGATGTTTATTATTAGTGATGGTAGTGTTTTTGTTCAGGAAAGACGTATCACCTCTTCAGTTTTTTAATAATAGATGCTTAATAACTTAAATTTTCATTTGTTATTAAGTAAGTAAATTTGCATTATAGATCAGTTCTGGCTCTATTTCTGTTTGCATTTTCCAAAAAAAAAAAAAAAAAAAGGTTTATTTTAAAATGATTGATTTTTGTCTTAAATTGATTTAGCCTTTGCAGGATTATAGGTCTTTTTAGGTCACATGATTAAATTGTGTTTGGAGTACATTCTATATTTGTGAAAACAGATTATTAACAGGCCTATTAACTAACTTCAGCATAAGATCAGTTGTATGTATCAGCAGTATTGCATCTTTCAACAGTTTGATGTTATAATCTCGTGCGCCGTGTAACATGTACAGCACACCTCCACAGTTTTATGATCAGAATCATCTTAAAATGGCCTTTTAAACAATTGCCAGTCTTTGTATTGTAAATCGTTGTATTTTCTTCTCAGGAAAGCAATCATATGTACTGCAGTTGTTATTTTGTATAACACAATATGTAAAATAAAATACAAGTATTCAAGTTTAAACGTGATGAGTTTTATATTTCATCAGAAGGTTGATGTTTATGTGATAAATTATGAAGTGTGATATTGAATGTTTTAACGTTTTCTGAAACCTAGAATCCAGTGTGACAGTTAATTTCACTAAATATATAAATATTCTTTTTACATGTAAAATAAACTAAAGGGATATAATTTGTAATACTTTTTAAAATGCCTGATTATTAAATTAGAATTAATATTTAATGAAACTTTCCATTAAATAATTTTTACCCATAATATTGAAAAAATAATGTTTAAAATTAAATACTTATATTTTAAATTATATTTTATTTTTATATTTTCTAAATATTTTATGTATGTATATGTAAATATATATATATATATATATGTGTGTGTGTGTATATATATATTAGTTTTTAGAAAATATAAAAATAAAATATAATTTAAAATATAAACAAATATTTTTAGTTTTTTATTTCAGTATTTGTATCTTTTGTGAAACTTAAAATGATATTAAAGTGATGTTTATCATTTAAAAAAAACAATAATATTAACATTTTAAAGCGTTGGTTATCAAGCTATGATTAATATGCTTGGATTTCAGTGTACTATTGAACAATGCAAAATTCCATTACATACATCTACTGAAAGCTCATTTTGGAGTGGCAGCCTATGTTAGTTAAACTATAGAGTTAGCTATTATATGTATTTGTTTGATTGCTCAGTATGTGTGTGATTGTTTTTGGTTCTTATCGTTTTTATGTAAAGCACTGTGGGCAACCCTTGGGGTTCTTTTAGTAGTGCTATATAAATAAATAAACCAAAACCAAAACCAAACTAATGTATTTTGTATCTGGGCGTTGATCATCCCCCCAAACTTGCGTTATTTCTCCGCCTGTCCAGGTGATGGCGCTATCATGCAGCGCGTACACACTCCTCCACTGCCGGTGAAGGAAAGTATGACAGCGTACTACAGCCTTCAAGCCAAAGTCATAGTCATCCGCTCTACCGCTGCCGTCCGCTGTCATCATGTCTGAGAAAGAGTTCGGCCAAAAGTGGGACCGCTGCCTCGCAGACTGCGCTGTTAAATTCGGTAAGAATTCATTAGATTTAATAACCAACTTTGATTGAGGGCTTGTTGTCACGTCCGTGTAGGGCACTCCGGTCACTGATAAGACGCACACACGTTGGGTTCGGCTCAAATTGATCACCCCCCCAATCTTGCGTTATTTCTCCGCCTGTCCAGGTGATGGCGCTATCATGCAGCGCGTACACACTCCTCCACTGCCGGTGAAGGAAAGTATGACAGCGTACTACAGCCTTCAAGCCAAAGTCATCCGTCCGCTGTCATCATGTCTGAGAAAGAGCTCGGCCAAAAGTGGGACCGCTGCCTCGCAGACTGCGCTGTTAAATTCGGTAAGAATTCATTAGAATTCAAAACCTAGTGAACTCCCTACATAGACGCCTGCAAATGCTGTTTTGTTTTGAGAACTATGGTATTATTTTATGTGTTCTATTAAAAAGGTTAGGTGAATTAATGTTACTACTAGGACCGCCTACGACTAATCTAGGCAGGTCTTAGAATGACATACTGTGTTAAATCTATGTTTTTTGGACTGTTTTTTCTACTATTAGAGCTGGGTAGATTACTTCCAAATTGTAATCCGTTACTGCTTCCAAATTACGTGACAAAAATTGTAGTTAGTAACGTAATTTATTACATTACACATTTTAGGTAATATAATCAGAGTAACTTGTTTATCACATTGATTCAAATATGATAATCTTGTACCATATTATTGATATAAAAATACAAAGATTAAGAAAATATATTCCATTTGTTGTAATAAACAACATGCGTGCATTAACATTATATTACATCAAGGTTTCCCAAACTGGGGGTTGTGAAGCAACTGCAGGGGTTTGTGAGTTTAATGAAAAGCTAATGATTTATTAAATTATAAAAAATGTCATTTTAAAATAACATAAATCAAAATAAAACACATAGTAATTTTTTTTATATATTTTATTTGTTTACCTGCATTTCATGTGACCATTAATCAACAGTCAGAGAACCTTAAACATGCAAATGTGATAATGAATTATTAAAATATTTATTTTAAAATCTCAGGGGTTCTGCAAGTAAATACATTAGGTGAAAGAGGTTCAGATGACAAAATAAAAAAAGTTTGGGAATGCATGCATTACATGCAAATAAGAAATAACGTGAATTTGTGCATTTTAATGTGTTTGAAAGACAAAAGCTTCCTAAATGACATTATAGTAATACATGGTTAAATTACCTACTGAGTGATAATTCAAATAAAAATGAATGTGTTCATCAGTAGTTGATGCAAATGCAATGTTGAAACACTTCTTAAACCTGAAATATTTTTGTAAATGCAGTGGTCAAGTGATGTGTGGCCACCTGACTAGTGAATGATCTTTGTGTGAACGTCCTCAAAACTGGAAGACTTTCTGAATGTATATAAGCAGCAGGCTATTTTAGAAAATAAAAATTAAAAGATGAAAAAAAAAGGAATTAGGGAGAATCAATAAATTGAGTAATTTATTGCTATTGGGTGAATAATATATAGCCTAATCATGTAATCAACAAACAAAGTAACTGTAATCTGATTATGATTATTTAAAAATGTAATTTAATCTCATTACAAATAATTTTTGGAATCTGATTACATAATCCAGATCACATGTAATCAGTTACTACCCAGCTCTGTTTACTATGTACCATGGTAGTTATCATGGTATGCTTTAAAGTACCATGAATTCACAGAGAAAGACTCAAAAGCTGTCACTGGGGAGGTACCTTTTCAAAAGCTACACTTTTGTTCCTTTTAGGTACTAATATGTGCCCTTTAGGTATAAAAGTTGTATCCTTTGAAAAGGTACTGCTTCAGTGACAGCTTTTTTTTTTTTTTTTTTTTGAGAGTGTATCAAAGTA